TATGGCCAGACTGTTTATGGTGATATTAGGGTTTCTTCTTCCTTTACCCTCTGTCAGAATAATTAGTCTGAAAAATATCAGCTTGTTGCTTCCGTGGTTTCTTTCTTGTCACCAGAGTCCATCCTTCTTTATCATCGTGAGGAAAAACCCTTTCAAACGTTGAAATGTCACGTACACTCCCTTGGCCAATATAGATTGGGATTGGTTCCAATGAACCAAACTAGATAGTTGTGCAAGATACCTCCGAAGTTAAAGGTTGAGAACGAGCACTCCCCACTACAGAGGTTGTCAAAGTAGCAATAGTATGATTTGAAGTTACAACTTCGTCTGTATCCAACAAGATTTTTCCTTGTTTCGCCAGATTCATCACCACCTCCTTGAAGATAAAACACTTCTCAATTGGATGACTGATAATGCGATGATATTTGCAGTATTTTGTATCGTTGATACGTCCCATCTCTGGAGGACGTTTGCATTCAGGGAGTTCTATAACTTTACTTTCAAGTAAACATTCCAAGATGCCAGGAACATCGGAATCGGGGAAGGGGTTTTTTTTCTTCTCTAACTCCTTTAGCGTAGGACGCTGTCTCTCCCTCTCTTGAAACTGGCGAGGCTTTTTATCATCCTTCTTGTCATCTTTAACAAATATCTTGATTGGGGTGCTTGAGATAGCCATTGAATCTTTAGTAGCATTTTTTGATGACTTGTCGCCCTTCTTCCAGTCTTTCTTATCTTTGCGTGGTTCTATAGTCACGGGACTTTTGCCGTCATGGGATTTCATACTGATCTCCATGTCATGGGCACGCGTAGCCAATTCCTCAAATGTACGAGGTTTTATGCCTTGCAGAATGTAGAACAGGCCGTCCCTACATACACATCTCCACAGCAGATACTTCTGACAAACGGTTCTTGCAGTCAAGACTGAGGGCTCTCCACCGATTAATGTAGTCGATTACAGGCTCATCCTTCCATTGCTTCGCGTTAGTCAACTCTATCATACTAATAGTACGACGAGTGCTATAGAACCTGTTCAAGAATTCTCGTTCCATCTGGTCCCAACTATCAATTGATTCTGACTTTAGGTCAGTGTACCACTCAAACGCGTTTCCTTTAAGGGACCGGACAAACTGTTTGACTAGTAAGTCCCCCTCTGTTCCGGCATTGTTACAAGTCTCGACAAAATGGGCAATGTGTTGCTTGGGGTTACCTTTTCCGTCAAATTGCTGAATCTTCGGAGGTTGGTATCCTACATGCATTCTCATACTGTCGATTCTCCTTGTATAGGGCTTTGAGTACATGAGAGTGCTCTGTGAGACATCACCATATTGAGCTCGGATTGTATTCGTTATCATATCTTGCAATTGTTCGACAGATAATAAAGAGACTGAAGAAGAGGTATGATTGGTTTGACCAGTCGCCTGTTCTATCCCCGGCGTCTGGTTTTGACTGGTCGCTTGTTCTGTCACCGGCGTCTGTTTGGGATTCTCCCTGTGAGTACCTTGTGCTATAGAATTAGGATTCTCCGTTAGTATTGCTGCGGAAGATGTAGGTTTCCTAGACGGTGGTGGTGTGAAAGTTGCACGATTCCCGGATGGCATTGGTGTTTCACCGAAGGTCTGAACTTCCAATTTATTCATTAGTGTAGCGATTTGCAAGTCCTTTTCTTCAATAGTCTTTGTGAGGTTCTCAATGGAATAAGCCATAGTTGCTAGTTGTTCCTCCACCGTAGCAGCTCCAGTCATCATAGCAGCAACCACATCTGAGTATGATAGGCCTTGAGAATCCACGTTCCTTGAAGTGATTGATTGCTCCGAAGTCTAACGTGGTGACTCTGGGGGTGAACCGACACTAGAGTGAGCATCATAGATAGAACGAAGTGAATCGGGTGGTGGAGCCTCCTCTGGAACAATGTCAAGGTTTTTGACATGTTGAGTTTTCACGTTCGCCGGTGTTACAGGATTAGTTTTCACCACATCTTGCTGAAGTTTGAATGACGCCATCGCCTGGGACTTGCTACGTGTCACAGGGCCCGTCAAGGTACTTACATCGCTTAATTTGGTCTTCGTGCCACTTTTCATGGTGGCTTTAGCGTCGACCTTTGCAATAGCGATGTTCTTTTGGGCTTTCTTGTCTGTCTGAATCTTAGGGGGAGCCATAGAATCTGATAGAGAAGAAACTTGATAGTAGGAGAAAGAGATGAGAGGCAAAGGTTGTCCCACCGGGCGTGCCACAAATTTGTACACACAAATTTTGTAAGTCTGCAATAGAAACAAAATATGGAGCAAATAGAATTTTATTAATTTATGAATGTGGAGTACAGTCCTTTGTAATATCTTTTACAAAAAGAATGGTCCTCTGATTCGATCTCCTTGTTTTTGGTTGGTTGGATCCAAGGGCTGCAAGAGCTTGTTCTTGAATCACTGTGGAATTTGATGAAGAACGGCACGTTGTTGGATGTGCTTGATGTTCTTCGCTTTTGGGTTTCGATTATGAATTTGTGTCTGAATTCTGAGTCTCTGGATTTCTGAGTCTCTGAACTTCTGAATTCTGAATTTGTGTCTGAATTTGTAGACTTCTGAATTCTGAATTCTCTCCCCTTTTTCTTCCTCCAAGCCTTTATTTATAGACTTCTTGGATTAATAGGATGATGACACGTGTCATCTCCGGATAAGGAAAAAAACTATAACTGGGCCGAACCGGTTATATTGTAATAATTATCCTTAAAGATAATTATTCAAAATATATTTTATTAGGAATAATTATCGTTTCATTTAATTATCTGGGCTGGGCTAATTAAATAATTTAAGTGGACCAAGCCTGGTAAAATAATTTATTTAAATATTAGGCCTATATTTAATGGGTCCATTCGTTAAGACCAAAGCCCACTAAATTTTAGTGTCTACAACCTCAATGACATGTTTGGAATACTTTCTAAATAGAATGAGGTAATTTTGCAATTCTTGTTTTCAAAAACATGGTTCGAATGCATTTTAAAACAGCGGTAAAGTGCAGAAAACATCGTTAATGCATACTCCGCGTAACACTTTCATCTTTATTTAAAAAAGTATGTTAATAATCTTTTTATTTTTTTAACACTATGCTAAAACACCCCTTAAGAGGAAATCTAACATGAAATAATAATACCCATTTTGTTCTTTTACTCTTTTAAAAATGTCCAAGAGGGTGTGTATGCAAATAATTTCAAAATATAGGAGTATTTTTTGCACTCTCTCTCTCTCTATATATATATTACACACACCATCATTAATTTAAAAATAATAATAATAAGGGTAAAATGTCAAAAAAAAAAAAAAAAAATTCCCTGACCTATGGGGGTTTTGCAATTAATCCCCAAAACTGAAAAAAACCGACACAAATTTACCCTTCCAAAAAAACAATGTAGTTTCTTTATAATGTCAACTTAAGTTGCTGACGTGGTAAACAAAATCTCAGCAACTAATAGGATTGCGGCAACACGACGAAGTTTCTTACCTCTTATATCTCCATCACCACACAAGCAAACAAACCCCTTGGGCCCTTACCACCTTCCTTTATTCGCGCCACACACGGAGAGTAGAAAAGGAAGCCACTGTAGACCTCCTATATTGCCGCGGAAGAGTGAGGTGGCGACGGTGGCGGAAGGGTGCGACGTACATGATACTTAACCTCGTAGAAGGCCCAATATGAGAGGCCCAAGCACCACAAGCCCACTTCCTTCAATAAAAGCCCTCTTACCAGAAGGATAATTCTTCATCTGGACCAACATATCAAACGGTGAGTGGACCAATTGAAGTAAGAAGGCCGAGCGGCCCAACCGAAGCAACAAAGCCATTCAACAGTGTCTCAAATTTCTTTTATCATTCTTCATTTTGTTTTCATTCATTATTGAGTGTGAGAGCATCAAGGTCCTGTGATCGGACCTCCATGTTCGGTCTGAAATTTTGTACACCTACAAAAAAAGAAACTAATATGCCATTTGAATTGATTTAGTTTGCTCATTTGATTGATTTGTAATTTTTTTAATTTTTATTTATTTATTTATTTAATATAGCAATTTTAGCACACAAACTATTAAAGGGTTGTCCCAAAGCTACAAATGAGTTGCCTACTATGTACGTTCAATCCAGATAAAGTTGACTCTATCTCAGTCTAAGTCAAGAATGACAACGACCAATCTTATAATTTTATAATGAATAATGATAATTAATTCAAAAATAGGATGTATCTTATTTTTTTATATGAGTGAGAATGTATCTGATTTTTTTTATAATGTACGCCCAAAATGCCATTTGAATAGATTTAGTTTGCTCATTTGATTGATTTATAATTTTTATTTATTTAATATAGCAATTTTAGCACACAAACAATTAAAGGGTTGTCCGACAAATGAAAGGCAAAGCTACAAATGAGTTGCCTACTACGTTCAAACCAAATAAAGTTGACACTATCACGGTCTGAGTCAAGAATGGCAACGACCAATCTTGTAATTTTATAATAAATAATGATAAATAATTCAAAAATAGGATGTATCTGAATTTTTTTTTATTTTATATATGAGTGAGAACTGAGAACGAAATAATATTGTCTCACATAATTTTATTGCTTTGATTAGGCGGAATAAATCTGAAGGAAACGTTGCTCATTTTTATAGTGCTAATAGAGGTTCTTATGGGACTAGGGAAGTGTATGTAGATAATGCATTAATGCTCTGGAAAAGAAAAGAGAGTGAGTACAAAAATAATTTAGCACTAATAGGAGGCATTGATCTTTCAGGTAATAGATTAGTTGGAAAAATTCTTGAAAAAATCTCATGTCTTGCAGAATTGAATTATTTGAACTATCGAGAAATGATTTGAATGGACATGTCATTCAAGAGATTGGTGAGTTAAAAATGCTAGAATCTCTCGACTTGTCTAGAAATCAGTTTTCTGGTGAGATTCCTACATGCATTACTCGTTTAAATTTTCTTGACGTCTTAGATTTGTCAAATAATTAATAACATGTCTGGTAAAATTCCATCAAGCACTCAATTGCAGAGCTTTGATGCCTCTGCATATGCTGGAAATCATGAACTTTGCGGGCTTCCACTTCCAAATAAGTGCCCAGGAGATGAAACAACTCTGGAACCTTCTGTCAATAAAGATGATATCATTCAAGGAAATGAGGATAGGTTCATAAACCGAGAATTTTATGTCAGCACAGGGATAGGTTTTGGGGTTGGATTTGATGGTGTCTTTGGCACTTTAGTGCTCAATCGTTCATGGGAACATGTCCTTTTCAACTTCTTGAACAACATAAAAGATTGGCTTCACGTGACAACAGCAGTGAATATGGCCAGATTGAGGAGGTGGCTTCAAAGCTAACAGGTAAATATCTCCTTCGGCTTTTCAGTATTAGCTGAATTTTTACTTCTCGACTTTGTTTCTGCATTAGCTAGATTTTCAATACTTGAATGACACTCTTTATAGCACTATACTCATAAAAACTGCCACAATAATAAAAATTTGGGTACTCTGCTTGTAAACTGATGCTGGCTGGGTTAATTTCACATTGATTAAATTTAAACTGATTGCTAATGTTGTTCATATTGTTCCTTTGTTTTGCATTTTCGATGGAAACCACTTCAACTAAGATGTGAGACTTTGTTCCTCTTGACAATAAGTTCCTACAGTAGGACGCCGAGTTTTGCATACCCGTTGCTTTTTCTGGAATTATTTTCTGTTGATTGAAGCATCACCATAAGGTTGTGACCTGTAGGGGAATCTCTATTGGGAGAAAATTAGGGAGATGGGATTCTTTGTTGTACAACACGTGCTCTACAACATTGGAAAGTTCAGATCAATCACGCTGTACGTAATGTGTTTTACACTGGTGGACCATCAAAATCTCTCTTTAAGCTAGGATTTGCTTGTACATAAAATCAATTCTCTTTTATTGGTCTGGCAATTTCATCTTACATAATAATATCTCAAAAATCAATCGGTGCTGTAAAAACTTTCTATCGGTTCAAACTAGCCATAGAAATGTAGTAACAAAGGTAGCTTGCCAGAAACTTTATAAAAAATAGAATTGCGGATGGTAGTAAAACTTTGTTCTGGTTGAGTCAGGTTTCCAACAGATGCTCTATCATCTCTAATTGACCCAACGTTTTTGAAATCAGTGACGAATTGATATGCTAGACTTGCTGTCCATTTTAACATACTGGATACCATTTTTTCATCCCTTCCTTTCGTCCTCTATAATATTTTTCTTCCCCCTATTTTAAACCCTACTGATCATTACTCTGTCACATGGTCAGCCTCTCCCACTGAAGAATTTTCCATTTATCATGCCCTCAAAGCCATCCTTTCACCGACAAATTCAGTCCAATAGGAAGCTGCATACCTGAGCTAGACCACCTCTCAGACTTGCCAATTTTCTAAATTTTAGCCCTCTGGGCAATAGTGTACCTGAGAGTCACAGCCACATACTCCTTATCATTAATCAACTTAATTCACAGTTTGTCCTTCAATACCTGACTTCTTCTAAATTCAAGGGTCCATTGTGACATCTAAGGTACAAAACTTCTCTATTCCCGTGTCATACGCGGAAGACTTATAGTCCTATGTTCCAAATCCTAATAAGTATCTTTTCATTTGAATGATACTTGGGTGAAATTTCCCTGAGGAAACTATGTCTCAAAAGAACTTGGCCTTAATGTAACTGACGAAGAAACAGATTTGCATTAATAAAAGACATGAATTTGCCTTGAAAAGTTTTAATTATAGATAATTAGGTGGTTTAGATTCCTCCCTGTCATTGTAGTTGAATCTTGTTTCTTTTAATGAATAGAATCAATGAAGATGAGAAAAGCAAGCATATATGCTTGTGAAAAATGATACTTTTCTCAGTGCTTTTGGTGAGGTGAGTGAGTGTTGTGAGGACACTTTGCATTCAATGTTGGTTGAAGTATTTTTGGTGAAAAATATTTTCCAAGTGTTCAAAATAGTGCGACATTCAAGTAATTTCTGAAGTACGGGTTGAACCGGTTACTTGATTACTGTGTTTAAAAATCATAATGCATTGTATTGGTAGTCCAAATTTTGTGCCAGAGCCCTAAACTGAAATTCATCTTATAGTGCGAATATCATGAGTGATTTAAATTTTGATAGTCTCTAACATGGAGACACAAAGAAGAAGAGTGAGAACTCTTGCAGCAGATTGAGAGCTTCCTTCTTTAGTCATTAGACAAGGTCTTGAGCCAAGAGAGATCTTTTAGGCTTATTTCTAGTTGTTATTGTATAGGCGAGCACCCTGTTTGTCCCTGTGATTGTACATTTTTCCCTTTCACCAACGGGCCAGTGGCCTGGCGGTATCAGTTTCTTATTTCCTAAAAAAAGGTCAGGGGTTCAAGTCTCAGAAGAGATATGTATGTGAGTACCGATTAAGAAAAAAAATATATATATATATTTTTCCCTCTCTCTTCAGTACAGTAAAGTATTGTACATGCTCTGTTTATTGTTTGTAACGTGAAATCATGTGATATGCGATACAATACTAGCTTGAACCGCATCATGGTGGTTTCCAGATCCTTTTTAACTTGAAACAATCAGTCACCCATAAGAAATGACGAGAGTAGTATTGATTTTTCCATATCCTGTTTACTTGGCATGTTAAGGGAACTATCCCAAACTTAAAATTGGGATTCAAAAGTGCATAATTTGAAGTAAATGTTTGCTCTTATCCATTTTTCATGCATTGGCTAAACTTTCATTCCTTGAATTTGTTTTTGAATTAGCTAACGATTAAGTACTTGAATGACACTCTTTATCACACTTCAAGTGTCCCCACATGAAAAATGCCACACAAAAAAAAAAGAAAAGAAAAAAAAAAAATAGTTTCTCGGTTTATATCTAGCGTTGGCTGGTCAATTTCAGATTGCTTAAACTGATTACTAGTATTTTTGTTCCTTTTTCTTTCCTTTTGCATTTCAGTGGAAGCTAATTAACCAAAGTGATGCGCTTCTGTTATGTTCCTTTCGAAGATAAGTTCCTACCAGACATTGGTTCCGCGTACCCACTGAAGCTAGGTCCTTTTTATTCCATGAAGAATATAATTTTGCAAATATTATGTATGTGATTTGTTGTGGAATTAGATATGAAGACACTTCTGATATTATTAATGTTTGATGATCTTATATTTTGGAGTTTTAGGTTTTGCAAATAAAACTATAGTGCTCCAAACTTGCCATCCTAATCTGCCAACAAGAGATTCAGTGCAAAAATTGTTGATTATTTTTTGCATTATTGTGGTTCCCTGGAATCAGAACAAACATATTGACGGTGACAGCAAATACAGGTGCGTTTACAGGAAAGCAAGAAATCCAAAATTATACTTCTAATGATGTAGACTCTAATTATATTCAGTTGTATGCATAATTAAGATCATAAATGTTGGTTTTAGCCTATTCATATGGACTCTGTCAAGAGCAACTGCAAAATTATTCATCATGACTTATTTGTAACAGGAAAGATTTTTATTTGAATAATAATAATGATGGTATGACATTGATTAATAACTTTATGTGATACATATTACAAATCTGCATCAAGTATTAAACATGCCAGCAGTGGGTGTCAATAATTACTCCTGGTAAGATAGATACTTGCACCACAACAAAAGCATTACATAAAACTCTATAATTATATTTTCCACTGCCTATTTGTCATTGTGAAATTACTAAAACCACTTACTTGTTTGAATTCCAACTGCGGAGCTTTTCATACGCTAAAGAACAGCTTTAGCAAATATCCTTGTGGAATATCAATTCTAATTCTAATACCCTCTTATACATTAAAGACTTCTGGTCTTTTAACTTTTTCTAATTCAACGATCAAGACATCTAAGGCACAAAATATAATATCCTCCAAATTGAATGCTTTTCTTTCATTTAAGTGATGAAGAAACAAAGTTGCATTATAGCCATAGATGATTACTTTGACGTGGACATTGACTAAGATTGAGTAAAATGAGGGCATTGACTAAGATTTTCTTTCACGGCTTTTCTTTCATTTAAATGATACTTTGATGACTTTCATTTAAATTATACTTCGATGAAATTTCCATGAAGAAACAGAGTTGCATTATAGCCATAGAAGACTTCGACGTGGACATTGAGTAGTGATTTCTTTGTCCTTTCTTTTTGGGGAAAGATTGAGGAAAATGAGGCCATAAATGAGATCAGATGATTGAGGGCTTCAATTGATCTAATTGCAGATGACCAGATGGCCTTGCCAATCATTTCAATTTATAAAATGAAGGCAGGCAAAAGAGGGAAAAGAAAAATGAAAAATGAAATCTTTGAAACACTATATAAAATAATATTAAGAAATCATATTGTAGTCAATTTATATTATTGACTTAGTTAGTTAAATTTTCTATAATATCTTAAAGACTTCTTTCATTTGAATGATAACTTGCATGAAATTTCTATGAAGAATGCATGTCTCAAAAGAAACTTTGACATGGACTTGACTAGTGATTTAAAGATGAGATGAGATGTATGAGGTCGTAGATGAGTTTGAGGTGCACCTTGACTTCTAGTTTCATTCCTCTTCAATTGTCGTAACAAATGCAATTGTGAAATTATATAAACAATCTTACACATAAATTAGAATCTTAAATATGTTATCAGAAACTAAGAACACCATTCATGACCTTTAATTTATATTTCAACAATTTACATATTAAAACATTTATGTTGACAAGGTCACAATAATAACAAAAAAAAAATGAATTTACAATGAATATAGAACATGTATAAAGATGAGTTTCTCAACATTTATAATTAGGAAAAAAAGAAAAAAAAAAAAAACATTTGTAATTAGAAACAACATAATTCACACAGAATTTTTACTACATAAATAACTAAATAATAGAAATTAAGAATGGAAATCAACCATTTGCATTTAATCAAAAAAAAAAAAAAAAAAAAAAAAAGAAGGAAAACAACAAGATATAATAAATTAAATAGGAAAGAATTGGCATAGATAAGGCATGTTAGTCGTTCATTCTAAAATTGTTAGCCGTCCAATAATTTCAAAATACAACTCATATTTATCTCTTTTTCGCTTCGGATATGTCCAAAGACTATAAAAGTCTATGTTCAAAAGAAACAATGTTGCATTGCAGCCATAGAAGACTTTGATGTGGAGACCATGGCTGACTTTAAGGTGCACACCTTGAAGACTCCTGGTTTGATTTCCTTTCCATTGTGGTAACAGGCCTAACTGGATAGATCCAATGAGAATTTCCATGGTCTCTACTTTGCTCTTGTCACAATCAATTGAATGGCTCTTTTCCACTAATAGTAAGTGATAATGATATTTCAATGGAATTTCCATGAATAGAGTATATAGTTGGTGTTGATGTAATTGATGAAGAGCATAATTGCATTATAGTCATAGGAGACCTTGACTAGTGATTTTTGTCCTTTTCTTTTTCGGAAGATGAGATTTATGAAGTTATAAATGAGTTTGAGACCATTTAGGTCATTGATTAATTGAACTTTTGACATTTTTGATTTCATTTTTGATTTAGTTGGATGTTTAATTGAGGCATATGTTAACATATTATAGTTAATTTATATTGTTCGCATAATTAGCTAAATTGTGTTTTATGACCCAAAATCATTTGGTTTATAATTTTGATTTTTAGGACACAATGAATTAAAATTTTAAGATTCAACATTCGAGCAGTAAGTCTTTCTATTGGTCCTACAAAATGAATGTAAGATAACAACCCTTACCAACATCTTTGACTATATTGTGATTAAAATTTCGTATTTTTTTACTTTTCCAAATTTTCTTTTGGATGTGGTATTGGAATTCGAAATGCGAAAAAATGATAAGAAAAAAGAAATCAAAAGAAAAGGTTTCAATAAGATAGTCCTATAAATAAAGGTGATCACATGACTAGCTAGAGAACATAAACAGACCAACCTTTTTCTTCACTAATTCTAAAAATGATTGCGTGAGGAAGTACATAAATAAACCCAAAAAAAAAAAAAAAATCATAGATTATTGCCGTCTCATGCAAATCAATTCATTATCTCAAAGGAAATATTTATAACTCTTTATTTCAATCTCACATCCGCTACTCTCGGACAAGACTTAGTCATTGAACAATTCAAGCTAACTCTTGCGACCCTACCTCGAGTGGCTAAGAACTCCAGTCTTACTCCTCAAATCTTATAGGCAAGTTGTTAATAATCAATGGTAATACAGTCAACAAAACTCCATTTGTCTCATATTAGTGTTCGTCTCTGAAATCAGAAGTTTTTAAGGAAATATACAATTAATGCATTATTCCCTTTTAAAATTATCAATTTGTCTATTAAAATTTAAATTTATATATTACGTTAAATTTTTTTAAATCAATTAATGCATTGTTCCCTTTTAAAATTATCATTTTGTCATTTTAAATTTAAATATTTATATTAATAGGTTAAAAGATTTTAAAGACTTAAAGATATTAATAAAAGAAAAAAACTTATCTTAGGCTGCCGCATAAGTAGGGCTCTCCTAATTATGATATTGATATGGCCCAATAACAATATGACATATGTCAAAAAAAATTAAAAATTAAACCTGAATCATTCGGATCTTTTCACGAGTCATCTAAAAAGGAAGAGGATTTTCTCTCACGCGTATGTGAGACCTGGTAGCTGGCTCTCGCTCTCTTTAACTCACGATTCCTTATCTCTTCCCACAAAATCCCCATTGATGTCCACCATCTCCCCAATTCTGAAACCCTAATACTAATCCTCTCTTCCGCCAACCGACCTCCACCACCTCTACTGCTTGCCACCTCCTCCATTCCCAAACCTAATATTTTACATCCAATCTTTAGAGATGATTCAAGCCGTCACATTCATTGTCTGCCATCTCTGTTGCAACCTCATCTCCAGAATGACTCAAGGCCTACCAATTAATAAATACGTTTAACTCTAGTGAGCATAAATTTTTTTGAGATTTATCACCACCTATTGCAATCTGAAACCAAATTGATTTACTTAAACTCTATTTATCATTGGAGTCTTACAATTGTGGTTAATTTATCATGTATGGGCTAATTGTTTAGCTTTGCAATATGAAGGGTTTGGAATAGAAAATCTCAAACGCATGACGAAAAAAAAAAAACTTTCCTTTTGGATGATCCGCAAAGAGGTCCAAACAATTTTTATTAATTATTTTAAAAAGTTTTTTTTTTGATACGTCTGTTTTTTTATTGATCCATGTCAACATGAGAAGGATATTTCTACTTATACAGCCTGAGGCTTAATAAAATAAACTAACACACTCACATTTTTCTAGAAATACTTAAATTTTGAACCTTGTACTTCACAAAGGTGAGGAAGTAGATAAATAAACTGAAAAAAAAAAAAAAAAAAAAAATCTCAAAGGCTCACACAAGATTTCAACAATATTTTCTTACATTAATTTTAGGATACAATTAATTCAAAATTAAGAATTTAACGTTGCATAAGTGGATCCTTCACTCAGTCCAAACATCTTTGTCCTCTGGTGATTAGACATAGCAGGAATGGTGTCTTTCAATGAGTCCACCGTAATGAATGTATTGTTGACTTTTCGAAGGAAGAAATTTTTTCTTTTGGATGACCTATTGAAATCTATAAATTATGTCTCGTGCCAAGAAAACAAAACAAAAAAAAAGGTTTCAGTAAGTAGTACTATATATAGGGGTCATTACATGGCTAAAGATGATAAAGAAAACCAAGAGTTTTGGTGTTTCACTAATTGTGAGTGGTTATTTCTGAAAATGATGAGCGGAGAAATGTTGTTTAAACATTTCAAAGTGTTGGTGGTTGTGGTTTTTTTACTAATATTTTGCTTGAAAATGAAACCAGCTCTTGGATTATTCAGTAATTCAAGTGTTGGTAAAGCAGTGAGGTGCATAGAGAGGGAGAGACGAGCTCTCCTTGAGTTTAAAGAAGGGCTCATTGATGATTATGGCATTCTCTCTTCTTGGGGGAACTCAACTGAAGACTGCTGCAAATGGAGAGGAGTCCGATGTAGCAACCGCACTGGTCACGTGACTGTGCTTGGCTGGGATAAAAACCTCGATCAGCGTTTGGGAGGTAAGATTAGTCCTTCATTGCTTGAATTGCAGCATTTGAGGTATTTGGACCTCAGTTTCAATGATTTTACAGGGAGCCATATCCCAGAATTCATTGGTTCCTTTAGCAGTCTACAATACCTCGATCTTTCAGATAATTATTTTGTGGGTACGGTTCCTAATCAGTTTGGGAATCTTTCCCAATTGCGTGCTCTTGATTTGGGGTCTAATTATGAAGTGAGTGTAAAAAGTTTAGAGTGGGTTTCTCATCTTTCTTTATTAAGATACCTTGATCTGACCCAGGTTAATCTGAGCAATGCAATAGATTGGATGGAAGCAACCAATAAGCTCCCTCTCCTAACGGAATTGCACTTGAGTGGATGTGATCTCCATGGTATCATTTCACCCCAACTTCCATTGATAAATTCTTCTAAATTGTCTCTTGTTGTCCTTGAGCTATCCCACAATTCTTTCAATTCTTCAATATACAGTTGGTTGTTCAATTTCAATACAAGTCTTGTTCATGTAGACCTTTCTCATAACAATTTACAAGGTCCAATCCCTGATTCCTTCGGAAACTTCAATTCCCTTGCCTATCTTGATCTCTCTTCCAATCAACTTGAAGGTGGGATTACAAAATCCATTGGGAACTGTACTAGTTTACAAACATTGAATTTGGGTTCGAATCAACTTGGTGGTTCAGTGCCTCACAGTATCACAAGACTTTCGTCTTTGAAGGAATTGTATCTGGATGGTAATCAATTGAGTGGGTCTTTACCAGATTTAAAAGGATTATCTTCATTAAGAGAGTTGTATCTTTGGAACAATAGCTTGACTGGACCACTACCCAGAAGTATTGGGCAACTTCTCATGCTTGAACTTTTGGACATTTCTTCAAATTCTTTACAAGGTACAATCTCCGAAACCCACCTCTCAAATCTCAAATACTTAAAGTATTTGGACTTGACTCTTAACTCCCCATCTTTAGACTTCAGTTCTGATTGGAATCCTCCTTTTCAACTCGATGTCATAAGGTTGCGGTCTTGCCGGTTGGGCCCTCGTTTCCCAAACTGGCTTCTAACTCAAAACAATTACTCTGAGCTTGATATCTCTAATTCTGGAATTTCAGATATTGTCCCTAGGGAGTTTTGGAATTTATCTCCTAAACTGTCTTACATAAATCTCTCTTCCAACCACATGAATGGCATGGTGCCTGATTTGACATCATTGAAGACATTTTTTTATCCTATAATAGATTTGAGCAATAATCGTTTTGAGTGTCCAATGCCACTATTTCCTCCCAACATCACACTTTTGAATCTCTCTAAAAATATGTTTTCTGGGTCAGTTTCTTTCTTATGCAACATAACCAATGAGTTTCTCAGCTTTCTTGACCTCTCAGATAATCGATTATCAGGGGAGCTTCCTGATTGCTGGATGCATATGGATGGATTAGCCGTCCTTAATTTGGCTAACAATAATTTCTCAGGAAAAATTCCTAACTCTATGGGTTTCCTCTATCAAATTCAAACATTGCACTTGCGCAATAACAATTTCATTGGAGAATTTCCTTCATCATTGAAGAATTGTAGTGATTTGAAGATCATTGATATGGGAGAAAATAAATTATCAGGAAAAATACCAGCATGGATAGGGACAATCTTCACAAGTTTAATTGTTCTTAGTCTGCGATTGAATAAGTTGCATGGACAAATACCTCTAGAAATATGCCATCTAAACTCTATTCAAATCTTGGACCTCTCCCAAAACAATATATCTGGGATTATACCGCCATGCTTCAATAATTTTACTTCTTTGGTTTGGCGGGATAAATCTAAAGGAAACATTGTTCATGACTATATTACTGATACAGGTTCTTATGTTGATGGCAATGTGTATGTAGACAATGCATTGGTGCTATGGAAAGGGAAAGAGAGTGAGTTCAAAAGTAATCTAGGACTGATGGGAGGCATTGATCTTTCTGGCAATAGATTAGTTGGAAAAATTCCTGAAGAATTCTCGAGTCTTACAGAATTGAATTATTTGAACCTATCGAGAAATGAATTGAATGGATATGTCATTCAAAATATTGGTGAGTTAAAAATGCTAGAATCTCTCGACTTGTCCAGAAATCATATTTCTGGTGAGATTCCTACAAGCATAACTCGTTTAGATTTTCTTGCTGTCTTGGATTTGTCAAATAACAACCTGTCTGGGAAAATTCCATCAAGCACTCAATTGCAGAGCTTTGATGCCTCTGCATATTCTGGAAATGATGAACTTTGTGGGCTTCCACTTCCAAATAAGTGCCCAGGAGATGAAACAACTCTGGAACCATCTGTCGGTAAAGATGATATCATTCAAGGAAATGAGGATGGGTTCCTAAACCGAGAATTTTATGTCAGCTTGGGGCTAGGCTTTGGGGTTGGATTTGGTGGAGTCTTTGGCACTTTATTGCTCAAACGTTCATGGCAACATGTCGTTTTCAAGTTCTTGAACAACATAAAAGACTGGATCTATGTGACAATAGCAGTAAAAATGTCCAAATTGAGGAGGAGGCCTCAAAGCTAATAGGTACATATCTCATATGGCCTTTTTTTTTTTTTTAATTTTCTACACTCACTCCAATTTTGTTTTTTGTATAAGCTAGATTTTCAATACTTGAATGATACTCTTTATAACAGTTCTAATTGTTTCTATGTGACAATAGCAGTGACTATGACCAGAGTGTGGAGGTAGCTTCATAGCTAATAGGTAATTATTATTATTATTATTTTTATGTTTCTGAATTAGCTGCACTTTCACTCCTTAAATTTCTTTTTCCATTAGTTAGATGTTCAATATTTGAATGACACTATAACACTTCAAACACAACCAAAAAAATTAATAATAATTCCTCTAGTTGTATAATAATGTTAGTTGTTCAATTTCACATTTTGATTAAATGGATTGGTTGCGTTGTTTATATTGTTCTTTTCTTTTTCTTTTTCTTTTTTCTTTTTTTTTTCGGTGTATGCTGCTTCAACTTCTTGCAGTGACAACTTCGAGTTTTGCATACCCTCCAATGCTGCAGCTGTCTCCTAGGCCTCTCTATTTCTTGAAGAATATATTGTAGAACTATTCTCTACATTACTTGTACTAGATTTAGTTAGTGTTGATTGAAGCACAACCATATGGTGTTGGACTATTTATATTAGGAATGGTTGTGGCCTGGGCAATCCAAAATAAATATATTACATTGTTTGTTGTCTAATATTTGCTTTCAAATGTACCATTGAAAATAGGGTTTCTTGAATATTATTATTAATAAAGCCTCTTTTCTAGATGTAACTCATGCTCAATTAATAATCCCTTAAGAGAGGGTTTTTTTTTTTTTTTTTTTTTCATAATCTCGTTTTCTAATTCAATACTTAATGTCATCCTCCTCTTAACAAGTTCAGCCCTGAAACAAAGTAAAGCACGTGCAGATCAGTTCTTTAGATACTAATCGAACCCCTAGATCTGGTGCTTTCTAGCACGAAAGTTAAGGTGATTTTACCACTAGGCCAACCCCTTGTGTGTGCGCGTGTGTCGCTACCTTGTAGTAACAATTAGACACAACAAAAGCAAAAGGAAAAGCAAAATTTTCAAAGCCTTTCTCTATATTTGAGAGAAGTAACAAATTACTAAATGCACTGTGACAGTGAGCACATTTGTGTACATTGCCACTGGATCATATAGAGTCCCTGATTAAAACATAGAAGCTATCTTGATGTATACATAAGCGTAGGTCGAAAACTAGATAGAATGGACAATACTATGTCAAACAATGTATTACCTCTGCATTGCACACAGACAATACTATGTCAAACATTAATCAATATATTAATTTATAATATTATGTTCATTGAATTAAACCAAAATAATTACCTCTTTTAAAATAATAATAAAAAAAGGCGATGACAAACTGGCTTAAAGAAAACAAGTAATGAGATCTTCTATTGAATCATTGGTTGGAGCAAACTACAATCTCCAACCAACAAAAAATAAATGAATTGTTAGAAGGCAGAAACCTTCATGATATCGATGTGATCATAACCAAGTGATTGGCCGACGTAGTCAATAAAATGGGAAACATTAGCCAAAACATTACTATATTGTAACACAATGTTCATCAACTAAAAGACTAAAACATAATTGGTCTATAGAAAACACAACGGAAACTTCTATTGAATAAGTGTTTGGGGCAATTGGTGTCAAGTTGCTGTTGGACGGGACATCGCAATTGTATTTGTTGGGTTTATTTCCTTCTATATGGAGGAGAGTCCAAGTGGGTTTTATTAAAGCCCAAAGCCCAGCTCTTTAGGGTGAATAACCCTAAGGAAGTCAGAATAAAAAGAGAGGAAGATCAGCCGTAGCTTTCACAAGAAAGAGAAGAAAAACGCAGGTTTTTTGTAGTCTGCCCAGATTTCAACAAATGTCCGATCCCGCTTCGTCCGTAGTCCGATCGAGCTGAAATTTGGAGGAGAGGTTCATGACTCAATGAGTTAAAATCTGAACGGTGAAGATCGGATTTTGGGCTCGGTAACAGTGATTCATAATCGTGAACAGTAACCGGGTTTTGGTTTTTTCTATTCTACAGAGATTTCATCAAACGTCCGATCCCGCTTCGTCCGTGGTCCGATGAGCTGAAATTTGGAGGAGAGAGATCAATGAGATGTATTGTGGCCTCTAATTGCGATTAGAGAAGACTTTGTGTACCCATTATTTGGTTAATAGTGGAGATTTTAACTGGATTAGGTTCCGTGGTTTTTCTTCCTCACACTGAGGAAATTTTCCACGTAAAAATTGCTTGTGTTCTTGTGGCTTGGTGTGATTGATTTTCTTTTCTATTATTTTCAGCACATATAAAAGTAGAGATACATTATATTTGCTTGCATATAGGGAGAAGAGTTATTCCGCTATATTTGTTTATTGTTATCTCTCCCAACAAAGTGGTATCAGAGCCAGGTTGACAGATTGTCAGGTTGGCAGTTTGAGTTATGGAAGCAAATAAGAGTAGAATGATTAATCTTAATGGTTCAAATTATCACATATGGAAAGGAAAAATGGAGGATCTTCTTTATGTGAAAGATTATTACCTACCGGTGTTTAGTGCTGAAAAACCAGAAAACAAGACTGTTATGGAATGGACTTTGTTACATCGACAGGTGTGTGGGTATATGAGGCAATGGGTAGATGATAATGTTTTGAACCATATTAGTGGAGAGACGAATGCACATTCTCTATGGAGTAAGCTTGAACAGCTATATGCTAGAAAGACTGGAAATAATAAATTGTTTCTGATTAAGCAGATGATGGCTTTGAGATACCAGGACGGGACTCCTTTATCTAATCACCTGAATACATTCCAAGGAATTATTAATCAGCTGGTTGGAATGGGTACTAAGTTTGATGATGAGACACAAGGGTTATGGTTACTTGGTTCATTACCAAACTCGTGGGAGACGCTCAGAACTTCATTGTCTAACTCCGCTCCAGAAGGTATGATCACAATGGATATGGCCAAGAGTTGTTTGCTAAATGAAGAGATGAGAAGAAAAACACAGGGATCCTCTTCACAGTCAGAGATCTTGATTACAGAAAAGAGGGGGAGAAGTAAGAGCAGAGGTCCGAAGAACAGAGATAATAACAGAAGCAAGTCCAACAAGTTTGCAAATGTTGAGTGTTATCATTGGGGGAAAAAGGAACACATCAAAACATATTGCAGGCAATTGAAGAAAGAAAATAAGAATGCGAAATAGAACGGAACAAAGAATGGAGATGACAAAGATGGTGATGACAGAGTTGCTACCACCACTCCTGTAGACTTCCTCATTGTTTATGATGATGAGACGATAAATGTTGCATACAATGAGACCAGTTGGGTGATTGACAGTGGTGCCTCCATTCATGCTACATCTCGTAAGGATTTCTTTACATCTTATAAATCTAGTGATTTTGGAACAGTAAAGATGGGCAACGATGGCTTGGTTAAAGCCATTGGAATTGGGGATGTGTATCTGAAGATGACTAATGGCACGAAGTTAGTTCTCAGAGATGTGAAGCATGTTCCTGACATTCATTTGAATTTGATTTCTGCAGGTAAACTTGATGATGAAGGGTATTGCAGCACTTTCAGTGATGGTCAGTGTAAGCTCACTAGGGGTGCTATGGTTGTGGCTCGAGGCATAAAGCACTCTACACTGTACGTTATGCAAGAAAAGATCTCCAACGACATTGTTAATGCGATGGAGGATAATGATACAACAGAGTTGTGGCACAAGAGACTGGCTCACATGAGTGAGAAAGGATTAGCTCTACTAGGAAAGAAAAGTTTACTATGTGGACTGAAAAGTACACTTCTGAAAAGGTGTACTCATTGTTTGTCAGGGAAGCAGAGCAGAGTCTCCTTCAAGAATTCCCCTCATTCAAGAAAGTCAGAGATACTGGATTGGGTACATTCAGATGTGTGTGGCCCTATGAAGACGAGAACACTTAGTGGCTCCAGATACTTTGTGACCTTCATAGATGATCATTCAAGGAAGTTGTGGGTATATACCTTGAATTCAAAAGACCAAGTGTTAGCAATGTTCAAGCAATTTCAAGCCCAAGTTGAGAGACAGATTGGGAAGAAACTGAGATGCATTCGTACTGATAACGGCGGAGAGTATTCTGGTCATTTTGATGAGTATTGTAGACAGCAAGGTATCCGACATCAAAAGATAACTCCTAAAACTCCTCAGTTGAATGGCATGGTAGAAAGGATAAACAGGACACTGGTTGAGAGAGTGAGATGTTTGTTTTCACAAGCCCAGTTGCCAAAATCCTTTTGGGGGGAGGCATTGAGCACAGTTGTTCATGTGTTGAATCTTACACCTTGTGTTCCTCTACAGTTTGATGTGCCAAACCTAGTTTGGACAGGTAAGGATGTTTCCTATAATCATCTACGTATTTTTGGGTGTAAAGCATTTGTGCATATTCCAAAAGATGAAAGGTCCAAACTTGATGTGAAAACGCGACAGTGTATATTCCTTGGCTATGGCTAAGATGAGTTTAGGTACAAGCTTTATGATCCAGTTGAAAAGAAAATTGTGAGAAGCAGAGATGTCATGTTTGTAGAAGATCAGACGATTCAGGATATTGAGAAAGCAGGGAAATCTATGTCTCAGCAAGGTGATATCTTGACTGATGTGGATCCAGCTCCTCTGAAGAATCTGCCATCTCAGGTTGAGAATGATGTTCAAGATGACCACCAGTGGACAGGTGATGTGGATGTTCCCCTACAGGTTCAGGGAGATGTTAAGACTGATGAGCAATTGACAGCGCCAGAGATTCCACCAGAGATTCCATCCAGGAAGTCTCCTAGAGACTGACGTCCTTCCACTTGGTATTCAGCAGAGCAGTATGTGTTATTGACTGACGGGGGAGAGCCCCAGTGTTTTGCAGAAGCCATAGAAGATGAACACAAGACGGAGTGGGTTGAGGCCATGCAAGATGAGATACAGTCATTGCATGATAACCACACCTTTGAGTTAGTAAAGCTACCTAAAGGAAAAAGAGTTTTGGAAAACAAGTGGATTTACAGGAAGAAGCCAAATGGGTTCTCTTCACAGCCATGGTACAAAGCTAGATTGGATGTCAAAGGGTTCGGTCAAAGAAAAGGTATTGACTTTGATGAGATCTTTTCTCCAGTCGTAAAGATGTCATCGATCCGTATAGCACTCGGCCTAGCAGCTAGTCTTGACTTGGAAGTTGAGCAAATGGATGTGAAAACTGCCTTCCTTCATGGTGATTTGGAGGAAGAGATTTATATGAAGCAGCCAGAGGGTTTCAAAGTGAAAGGGAAAGAGGATTATGTGTGCAAGCTGAAGAAAAGCCTATATGGTTTGAAACAATCACCGAGACAGTGGTATAAGAAGTTTGAGTCTGTAATGGGAGAGCAAGGCTACAAGAAGACAACTTTTGATCACTGTGTATTTGTTAAAAAATTCTCTGATGATGATTTTATTATTCTACTACTTTATATGGATGACATGTTGATTGTTGGCAAGAATACTTCAAGGATTGACTAGTTGAAAAAGCAATTGAGTAAGTCATTTGCTATGAAGGATTTGGGGTTAGCAAAGAAAATTCTTGGCATAAGAATCAGTCGTGATAGGAGTGCCAAGAAGTTATATTTATCACAGGAGGAGTACATTGAAAAAGTGCTTCAGAGGTTCAATATGGACAACACTAAAGTGGTTAGCTCTCCTCTTGCTACCCACTTCAGACTGAGTACAAAGCAATGTCCTTCTACAGATAAGGAAAAG